ATAGGGTGAATACATCTCATTACAATGATTTACTGGTAGTCTCGAAACCCTACTTTCTTACGAATCTTATCGCGTCGTCCAATGCGCTGTGGTAGTTTTGTCCCACCATTTGTTTTGTAAAGATGTCATATTCCTTCGGTGACCCCAGCCGGCACCGGTGCGCTCTTTCCCTCCTTCTCTCGCTCAATCGCTCGTGTCAAGCACCATTTAAGCACCATTAGCCGCAGAGTCTACAGAGAATGGGTGTGCTGATAGCAGAAAAGGGATAGGGTGAGAATAAAGAAGGAGATAGAGAATGCTGACAGAATACGGGTCAGGGGCGAGCCGATGAATGATAAGATGATGATACAGCTGGCGTAACCGATGAAAGTCAGGACAAGTCAACTGAACCATAGAATGGGATAAGTGAAAATGTCCTTCCTGACTGACTGTAAGGCTGTGAAGCCAAGTGGAGGAGGAGAAAAAAGAGTGAAAATGGAGTGCAGGTAGAGGTTTTACGTCATTCGGTATGGGCAAAAATATCAGCCGATTGGTCGTGAGGGCGGAGGGAAAGTGCTTGGCGTTCTGCTCTGATGTGAGACAATTTGACAGGCTAATCCCCAAAATAGAAGATGCCCTGCATTGCAGCCTAATCTAACCTGACAACCCGATCAGATTGCATCGTCTTCGGCCGTTTTGACGAACTGGGTAGATGAAGATGAGTTGTCTGGAGGCGGGACGGACTGAAAAACGGATGCATTCTGTACCCTTTTGAGACGCGTTGTTATGTCTTCCTCAGCTTCGCAGCAGTCGGCGCCAGTTTTCGCGCACGTACGAGGAGTGCGCAACAGTTGTCGCCATCCCACTTGCAGGCTACATGATTTTCTCGTCTTGTTAGACGAAAAACACAAGTCCGACATGCTGGATAACTTTATTCAAGCACTATTTTTGCCCTTTACAGACCCCAAGTAGTGCGGCAAGACAAAATCCAAACGAAATGGGCAAAACATTTAACGTCTCAGCGGTAGTACCTCTTTACAAGTTTGTATGACGTACAAAGGTGGGGAAAGCGATATCTAGGCATGGGGAAGTTAGGAGGAAATTAAGTGGGGGAGAGAGCTTGTTAATAAATTTGCAAATTTGCAATCAATTGTTTAATGGAGAGCAAATGAGAGGGTTGATGAATGTGAGACGAATAAGACGAAGAGGTGATGACTTGCAGAAGAACTTTTATGACGTCCTTTCTCAGCCGGCTGGACCACCTTGTTGCCAAAAGTGTCTTTCACTCTGGATCCAATTCAATGTAGCGAACATGGCACAGTAAATTTTGATGGAAATATTGGATTTAATATTCTTTTCACAGTCGTAAGCAACTTAATCAAGATTTATTGATAGTTTCTAAGGGCGATCATAGGCAGTATAAAATAGCTACGTATATATATATATATATATATATATATCATAAATGGGACATTTCGATAATAATGAAAAATTGTATTGTTTATTGCAAAAAATTGCTTTTCTTCTTCATCTAGTGTACAGAAACTTTAATATATCCAAAGAACATGTTCTGCCATAAAATTTTCCCTATCATGAGAATCAATCTGTATATATACATATACACCTGGGTCATATCCCGGCATAATGAATACTGTAGTAAGGCAATTTCCTGAATAACGAACAATTTTAGCTTATTGTTCGTCTATAGAGACCAAGGCAAGGGATTAGTAAGTTGGCCTCACCGAGAGTTGTGGGGGGGAACGCCTCGGAGCGGTGACAGTAGATTTGTGCGAATAGGTCCCCGACGCATTCCGATGAATCGTTGTTGAGCATTCGTCCGTCTAGCGACGGAAATTGTCAGAGCTGGACAATAAGATTCACGCGAATTCACCGAGCACAAAGCGAAGAAAGGTGGCGGGCCTCAATCCTGCCTATTTTTTTATAGCCCAGCTATGTCCACTTCGTGGGGCATCCTGATTTGGTTA